AACAAGATCTCAAACAACTAATTGGCCAGCAGTTTAGCTTCCGACAAAAATGAAATTGTCAATCACTATAACGACATTATCTTAAAATAAAATTGTTCCAGTTCTCAGTCAAGGATATGAGTTTGTCCTCTTATCTTTTCCAATTATGTAAAACAGGGCATAGAGTTTATCTACCTCAGTTTGCTTCATAATCATGATGGGACTTTTTCAAGAGATCAACTTGATGTTGAAATTGATATTACACTTAATACAATATTAGCAAGACTAGCATGATGACACAATAATATTATAAACATATATTATTTAAGGAAAAGTGTCAGTGGAGAGACATTTAGACTCTTCTTTTCGTTCGCAAAAGTGAAGGACAAAAGTTTAAAAAATACGACTTGGACAAGATATTTTATAGAGTGTCTCGTCTTTCTGTTTAAATGTAGGCCTACATACGTACAACCCACAGCCCTGTCAAAATTGTGCTGACAGTAGCATAAACTCTCTCAGCAGAAATCACTAACGATTTAAGGACGGGAGACGCATATCAGACTAACTGTTGATAAAATGGGAAAGACTGTGCTTGTTTTTTTTTCAGGTGTGTATGTGTGTGTGTGTATGTGTGCGTTTGTATGTGTGTATGCGTGGGTGTGTGTGTATGTGTGTGTGTGTGTGTGTATGTGTGTGTGTGTGTGTGTGTGTGTGTGTGTGTGTGTGTGTGTGTGCTGTGCACGTTACTCTATGTGTGTGGCATTATGGTTAAATCAGGCGCTCTGTAAAATAATGAAATCGAAGAAACTGAAATTTTCCTGCCCGTCTGACAATTTTTATCCTTTAACAATTTGGGATCAATACATTTTTAAAGAAAAAACATTGATCAAAGGCACAAAAATATGTAGGTTTACAGTTTCTAAGGACAAAACATCTTTGGAAGTTGCCAAACTTTGGCAGCCTTTTTTGCACTGATTTTATCCTGTACTTCATGCCACCACTCCCCCCTCCTTTAATTGCATCGAGCGTCGGATTCCACCATAATGTGTCATATAAATTCATTAAATAAATCATCACTTCAATTCACAGCAAATTAAGATTTAATGGCTTTTGATCCACACTATAAAAAGGTATTGGACGGCTTTATCGATAAGAATGTATGAATTGTAGAAAAACCAGCAGCAACACAACAGCAATAACAACAGCAACAGTAGTATTAGTTGTTTTTTTCTCAACAGCAATAAAGTTATCAAATATAAGATTTAAAAAACACCTTAAAAACATTATGAAAGCACTCTCATGAGAAGTTAAACATCGAGAATGACGTGCATGTACATTCTCTTTCTCTTATCTTTCAAAACGGACTATGTAGACATAAACTACATTTTTATCATGAAAACTTTGTTTAACAACACATCATGTTTTTTGGGATGTTTTGAAACGTAATTATGTATATCGTTTGTAATCTATGCTGTGTTCACAGAAGTCTCTTATGAAAAATATGTTTTATGTGATGTGGCTCAATGGTGCTAAACACTGAACATGAGTACTGACCTAGTCTTTCCAATTATGCATCCTTTGGGGGACAATTTGAGAATGGGGTGACAAAACGGTGCATTTTAAACTTTACCCTTTGAACCCTGATCCCCCGTACCTAAAGATCTCATGAATCTCAGTTTTCTTGGGTCAGTGGCTAGAATATCACCACTGCACATGCATTTGGTAGGCAGAAGGTTTAAGCTACAGCAATCTCAGGCCCATAGAGATATTTATAATGAAAGGTTCAACCAGAGAGATACATGCATATCAAAATGGAGATCGTACAGCTTCACAAAAAGGAAGAAATAAAAACATCACAAGTAAGACATTGGAGAAAATAAAATATTACTACTTTCTTCTTATGGAAAGAACCACTTTAAAGATACAACAGACTGGGGTTTTTCATTAGCAACAGTGAAAGACAAAAACTTAGAATAGATCATTTCTTGCACATAGTGTAATAATGCACAGCACATGTGGAGAAATCTCCTTAAGAGCAGCTTTATGATAAAATATTTTCACATATCTTTTTGGCTTAAAACTTTGTTTCTTTTAAAGCATTGGTGAGGGCATATAAGCTCCATATACCAAGAACTTTCGTCATTCTGAAAGTACTATTTTTACATAAAGGCTATATCTGTCAAATAAGTACATCACTGTTTGGTTTGACTTAGTCTTAACTCTTTAAACCCTAAGTTTTTCCCCCGTTTCCTTGAGTTTTTTCAACAGTCACCTACATCTGGGGCACTATGTCTCATTATAACCCCAAAAGCTTGCCTCCAACTTCTAAATGGCAGAAACAAAGGCTTAGTCATTACTAACAAAAACTTGGTTTCGGAATAGTTCTGAAAAACAAACAAAAACCAGCACTAAATAAAACAAAACAGTTATCACTAGTGTCAGACGTTCCCAGTGTCCGTTGGGGAGCAAGGTTATTACCATTCGAAGGGGTTTAAAGAGTTAATCCATAGAGAAATGTACGCTCTATCTACCTGCATGTAATCAAAAAGCCACAAAGATCTGCTTCCTTGAGACACAGTGATGCACAGCGGCAACCAAAGGCAATGGGAATGTAGATACCCTACCACAATCTTCCATGAGACAGCAGAGCATGACGATACTAAACTCAAGACAAATGCTCAAAGAGAATCAACTCATCTCTTCTGTAAAAATATATAATTTTTTATCTGGATCCTTGAATTTACAACGCAAAAGTACAAGGAAGAACAATAATAATAATCACTACATGCAGTTAATCTTTATCATTTAAAAAGAAAGAAAAAACTGGAAAATAAGCAGATCAATTAAAAAAACCATTTATGAGAAGCAATTTGGAAGGATATAATCCCAAAAGAAAGGTTTCATTGCAGCCAACACAGAAAAAACCCAGCAGCCTCGATCTAAAAAATCAAATATCAAAAGGAATGTGTTAAAAAAATATACGCCAAGCAGTGGGAATCAGGAACAAAAGTTACATTCCTTTGAATAAATGCAAACAAAGGTCACAGCGTAACTAATTCTGATTTGTGAAAGAGTAGAAAAGTCGGATAAACCATACTCAAGAAAGAGACAGAAAGCATATTACCTTATCAACGTAAAACTGTCCTTTTGTTTCAATTAATATTCAAATGAACATATAACTACCGAAAATAATGTTAATGAATTTCTTCTGTTTTATTCAATGGGAGAAAACTCACACATCAGCTTGATACATAAGAATCAACTGAATTATGATTTAGTTTATAATTAGAAACACAAAATTAGTTCTTAAAATCTCAGACTTGGTCGCTTCATATCAAACACAATGTCACATCATATTCATAGGTATAGATACAACAGAAAGCTTACATGTCCAGGAGTGAGACCACGTAAATAAAACCCACAGGGAAGCATGAGACAGACCAGATAACAAACAGAATTAGAGTGCGATAAAATGAGAATGAACACTTTGCTGGAGGAACAAGTAGGCATACAAGCAGTATTAACTGTGAATAGGGCATTCTTACACATTTTCTTTCAAGAATGAAAATTACTCACGTGTGGCTCTACAAATAAATACTGAACACAAAAATATGCCATTCAACAGATAGAAAAAATGATCAGTGTATGCTGTGAAAGAATGCCAATACAAAGACAAGCCCCAAGTCAAATTCTGATAAAATCAAATGGGAACCATTTCCATGTTGATTATACCACCTCTAAGGTTGCTGTTTAACCCCCTCACCACCCCATCCCCAACACATTCAAGGAAACATACACACACACACACGCACGCACACACACACACACACACACACACACACACACACACACACATATTATGTATATATACAAGTGTGACGAGTCCCAATGGTTTGATCCACTAGGTAGGCTACAGATTTCATAAATTGAGTTTTTGGTACAGATACAAAGAGGACATAATTCCCCTTCATGTGACACCAATATCAAATGAATACGATAATATTTAAAGAAATGACCCACAATTCAATTTCAGAATGCTTCACTGCTGTCAGAGGCAAAATACTGAGATATTTGCAATCAAAGATTTGACAAATACTACTATCACAGAACAAAGTAATTCTCTAAAATAGCTTAAAAAACACATTTAAGAGCAAATTTTAAAGATTTTAAAATTGATTTTCCAACAGAAAAGTCATTGAAAAGTCTAATTCAGCGACAACAAAAATTTGCATATTTTTAGGCCCAACAAAGTGTTTTTGGCAATTTCTGCTGTTCAGCTCGATGTACCTAGAGGACCGAACTGTAGGGACATGTCACATATATATATATGAAGACACACTCACTGAAATAAAGATGTACCATAAACTAACAGAGAAAACTCCTGGGCATAAATGTCCTCCCTCCCTCCTAAAAAAGAAAGTTGAAAGAAATTTCAAGAAAATAATAATTTAAAAAAATGCACCATATGCTTACAAACATACACACACACACATACACGCACACACACACATGCAAACGTTAACTTTTAAAACATATAAATCCCATAGTAAAAGTGATGAAGCAAGCAGAATAGAGAGGTCTATCCTTGAAAAAGTCCATCATGATGTCCACAGATATTCATAAAATTGCAAATTCAGAAACATCACACGGTTTTATAAACAACACATGAGAGTACTCAAATCATGAGATCTGTAAGCAAAGAAAATCACATAATCAAACCCAACCCATCCATCTGCCAGCACCCTTATAGTCACTCAACAGCAACTTCAGAGAACAGCTTCAATCACAACTGATGTAGCTTAAAACAGCTTGATAAGTAAGATTTTTAAAAAAAGGCTGTTTCAGCCATAAGCTGGCAAATTTTTTGGCGCCAAATTTTTTTAATAGGCTAAATTGAAAGCCTAATCAGGTATCATTCTTGTGTGAAAAAATCAAATTGAAATTGTGACTAATTTTTTTATAAATTATAATTCAAATTTCAGAAGAGCAACTTTTTCAAATGGTCACGTTGACAAAAAAAACCCCCTGTATCTCGAAACCTAAATGAATGACAAAAAAAAAGGCGTTTTGTCAGCTTACGGCAGATTTGTTCACCATTTAAGTAGTAAAACTATTATCTTCACAGACGTAAAGGATTCCTGACACATTTTTCTTAGTCTCCTTCTTCTAAGTGCAACACCGTCTTGTCCTCTAATCCAGCAGCATCGATTGACAGCTCAAGGTCACTGTACACCATTTTAGGTGCACTGGAAACAAGAATGTACCCTCCCAGATCCTGTCCGGCTAGTTCCTCAGCAAATTCTACAATAGATTGCAGAGTCTCTTTGCACTTGAAGTATCTCTGGTGCCGTGTGCTATCCGTTGGGAGTTTTATGGCTAGGAGGATTTCACGGTCCGGTGGATGGTCTGGCGATGGGATAATCACAGGCTGTTTCACAACAGACGCCGATCTCGGCGGGCGATTTGAAGTGGTCTCCGTATTTTTTCTTGAGCTAGACGTCTGTACAGTGTCTGAGTCATCATCGTCTCCATCGTACAGGTCAACGTGAGCTTTGGCGTTATGTTTAGCACCTGCATTTGCCGTGGACGAGGACGTCTTCGGCTTATGAGCAGGGCTCGAACCGGAGGCAGAAATCTTTTTCCGTCTGACGCTGTCGGAGAGCGGCTTGTCCAGCTGAGACAAGTCAAGCCTCTCAACGCCTTCCGCTTTGAGATTATGGAGGTCGTCGTTATAGTGATGGTTCTGCATCCGCGAGCTGGCTTTTGTGGAGATAACAGAGATGTCTGAGACAGCTGAAGACACCCGACTGCTTTTGCCGACTCCCCCCGTCCGCCTGGCCAGTTGTGGGGGCGGGGGCTGCTCGGGAGCTGATGGGAGATGATAGCTCTGGTGCTGTTGGGATGGTGGTCGGTGTGAAGTCGGAGTCTGATGTCGGCTTGGAGGCCGAGGTTCATCTATCTCATTGTAAAGGTATGTTGACGGGGGCCCGTCATCAAGGTCGAGAGGGGTCGGAGTTCCAATGGCTGGGAGAAGTCTGTACTTGGAAAATGAGGACGGTGGTCGCACACCGGACATATCCGGTAAGTCATCTAGGAAAGAATTAAATATGAATTCATTATTAACATAATATTCTAACTATTTGGGTTTCTTTAAAGGGTTAGTGTTCTTTCTAATCCAAGAACTATCTTCGTCAGTCATAAATACTATTTTCTAGTGCAATATTGCCAATACTGTCTTCCATTTTGATCAAAGCCGATATACTTAGAACAATTATATTCATATTTAATGGTAGGAGACAAAAGAAATAGGTTCTTCATAGAGACATTTATTTCACTTAATAAAGTTACTATTTCGAAACACACACACACAAACACAAATAAACACAGAGAGAGAGAGAGAGAGAGACAGAGAAACAGAGACAGAGAGAGAGAGAGAGAGACAAAGACAGAGAGACAGAAAGAGGGGGAGGGGGTGATGCACAACAAATTTTTTTTACAGAATCACAAGCAAACAGGCCTAATCTTTCGACATTGGGAGACAGAAGAGTTTCTACACCAGCAGGCCAATGAAGAACAGCTGACAAAGCTGAAATGACCCTAGTAATGTCACAGAGAATGGTGTGCCAAAAAAAGTGAAGATATGGAATAAAATCAACAGGCTAGCCCAGGACCTATAGGGAAAAGCGGAAATTGTTTATTTGTGGCCTCTAGCTTGATGCAGGATGAGATAGACAGAGATGATGATGATGTTCCACCACAAGGGAACTTTCACTGCCTCCTGATGAGCAATAGATTTATTTATTTACTATCCCACACAAGGCGGGGGGTAAGGGTAGGGGACTTACCCTCCTCCTCAAACTGATTTGGAGTTTGTTCAACGTAACGGACCCTAGCTGAGCGTATATTTGCACTCTGAGGCCGACCACTTTGAGGACGCCTGCTGGATGCACTGGGAGGTCTCTCCGGGCCAGCTTTTGATTTGTGTACATGGCGTGGAGGGGAGGTAGGGCTTCCGTGTGGTTGGCTGGGAGGGGAAGGTGAGAAACTGTCGTCTGAATCCTCCAGTGACTGATGATGGTGATGGTGTGATCCGCTGCTATGACTGCAAGAAAATTAATAGATAAAAACAAAATCACAGCACTCACCCAAAGAGTTGTCATTTGCATAGGGGGGGGGGGGGGGGAGAGGAATGGTTACACTGTAATATGAGAACAGCTTAGAGCTACTTGACTCAGCTTCTTAACATGCTAGGCAAAAAGCTAAATAGAATAGTCAAATATTTCTATTAATTTCACGCTGAACACAACGCTTCATTACAAAGTTATGGAAAGCTCTATCAGATATTTTAACTGCTGTGATTGAACATTTCTGAGTTAATCGGCTGGGTTGAGAACACCTTAAAGAAAAAACCCCTACTAATTCATCTATCACCATAATTCTTTTCGGCTGATACTACAAAATAGAATGTATTCTTGTGATTGTGAGTAAAAATTTTGCAATAGCTGTGATGTTTGGATACAGATTTAGCAATGAGCCAATTGTACTGGTTCTGGCATATGTTGTCTCACAATTGCCAATAAAGTCAAAGTCACTGTCAACACCATCACTTGGAGAACAAGATGTTTGAACACACTCTTGATCAAACAACTGTCAAGTTTCCAGATCAGAAAATTGTTTCGGGACTGCGATTGTTTATTTTTTATTACTGGAGGCTACTGTTAAAATCTAAACTTCAAAACAAAACCAGGCCTAAGAAAGCACACACCAACAGGCAAATATCCCGCATTATTCGTCAAAATGACGCTGTACAAGAAACTAAACATAGCTAAAGTGTTTAACGCTTACTCATGTGACTATATAGATAAAGGTAGAGCTTTCCTTTTACTGAACTTTAAGACTCATAAAGAGATGATGAGGGTTTTGCAAAAATACTCATCCAATATGCAAGGACGGAAAATGGATGTCCAAAGATTCCAGTTAGTAACACAGAACGAGTTAATACTCAATGCATCACTTCATCACGAACTTGTAAAAAAGTTCTCCATTTCTTCACAAACCCATGATATAATAATATGATAACATTCCTAAACACTCACCCATCCATTCCTATCCGAGACATTGGGCGAGCAGGCGGGTCCTCTCTATGCTGGTCCCTGCTGCTGGGGACGCGAGCGAACTGGTCATAGTCAGCAGGCGGGGATTTCCTTCTCCTGTAGCCACTCTTTGGTCTCGGCGAGGCATACCGTGGTGAGTTGTAGTCAGTTCTTTTATAGAAGTCTGGAAATGTCCAGAAAACACATCACTTGAGCACACTCTTTGTCATTACTATAAACATCAATATTTAGAGCTGCAGGTAATAACTATAGCTTGTTCACTTTCCTCTGTCCACGTAAAAAAGAAAACTCCTGCTCATTTTTTAATTACCAGATGCCCAAGAAACTTTGTGTGGCACTTCTGCATGCTAGTGACCAAACAAAAACATCATTTTTTAATTAAAAAACCTTGATCCAGTAAAAAAAAGTTTCTCTATTAGGACCCTACATTAAAAACCGCTCTCATGGGCATCATGGTGTTGCTATTTTAAAATGAGCAACACAACATGGTCATATGCCAAAGAATACACATGTATAACAAGAGAGTAACATGCACATAAAAGATTAAGGAGACAGGATAAGGACGATAGATTTTGATAGGAAAGAAGGAGCAAACCACACCAGAGCACCCACCAACCATGGCACCCACTCCTATTATTTCATTATCCTGCTTTATAAGCTAACCTCTATCATTTGCAGTGTTTATTCTGTTGGTCATCCAACTTTTAGGCCTAAGGCCTAAGTAGAAATCGTATAGAAGTTTAAACACAGTGATATCATTTTGCCTTGCTCGAATTAACCAGTCAGACAAAAGTGAATTCTATATAACAAAAAAGTAATGATTTCACATAATTCTAGATCGACCTTTACAGATAAAATATCGCAATGTAAGCCCCATATATAGGCCTAATGATTATCATGGATAGTTTGAAAGATGAAAGCCACTTAATCTATGATAACGTCCTATTATATCCATGACTGCTATTTAAACTACAGTCGAACCTGCTCTAACAGCCACCTGAATAAGACACTCGTGTGCAAACTGCCACTTCCCATTTCCTTCTTTAAAACTGCTTATTTTTTTACATTATTATAATGACCACCATATGATCTACAACATAGGCCCCTTCTTGGACTTAAGTTTCACCTTGTCATGATGGGCCGCCGTCTTAGATAAGATCTATAGTTTCGACTGTATATTAAATTTAGTCTCGTAGGTAGGGTATTACCCTTATTAAGTAGGCTTATTATTTATTTTCAGTAAGGGTACAGGGGCGTCAGTGGAAGAGGCTATTAATAATAGGCCTACTAGACCTATTACGGATTTTGAATTCCTGTTAGATCTGTAGCTAGCAGGCTACTTAAGTTTAAGTCAAACAGATCAGGATCTAGATCTAGACTGTTTGCCGATGTTATGTCTTTAGATATGTATTGATACTTGAAGTTCAATTGTGGCAAGAAGTTGTAAAATTGTGGTATGCCTAACTTTGTAGGCCTAGATCTAGATCTCGTTACACTGCCGCACTAAAGTCTATTGACACTGGCACTGTTGTTAGTGTTATTATAATGTTGTTAGTAGAGCAGACAGCTTGCCTAGATTTTAATACTTTTACTGGATATGTACGCAAGATTACAGACCTGATATATAGCAACATACACGTAACATTCAATAAACTTATTTCTGCAATAAAATCAATTACCTTGAGCTTCTGCTTCTTCAACTTGCATTCCTATAAATGGCTCGTATCTGCCATGACGACTCATCGGCCGACCTTGCGCCATGTTGTTTACAAATGGGCTCGATAGTAACGCCGATATACAATTGGACAAAATTACAACAAGCTGATATGTAAAGGCCTAGATCTAGATCTAGGCTATGAGATATAGTTAATAATTTCTTATAATATAGTATGAAGAAAAATTACAGAACAAAACAAAAATTTAGAATTTTGTTACGTCCAAGTACTTTAGAAATCATCCGCAGCGAATAGATAATGTCATGGGAATTAACTGCATTTTTATAATCAAAAGATTCTATGACATTTACCTCCCCTGTTCCACAATAGAGCCCCGGTTACACACATCGATACAAAATTACATGTCATTATCAGAATCAGATTTTTCTTCTGCAAGAAAACAGTCCTTTTTATTGAACCGTGAAGTGTGTTTGCATTTTCCAGATTATATCTGTGTTCTGGTTCGAATTAGTGGTGCCCTTCCCTGTCTAACCTAAAGAATATAACTTTGTTGTCATCGAGTTTGGGATTATTGAGAAGCGTATCCACCTCGTTGGGAAATGTTGCCAAGGAAAAACAAAGAGGGGTGACTTTGAGTATCTTTATTAACCTTAGAAAATCTTATAAGAAAGGAATGTTTCCCATCTATCCACTTGTGAAAGATTTGGTCATTTTAAAAGGAGACCAGTTTTTCCTCCTGCGATTCAAGGCTCGTTTTTTTTTAAAATGGTAAAAAAGTTCCTGTAATTAAGAATGGCACCTGTTAATTAATTAATTAGTCTAATATTCATTCTATTTTCATAAGCCTTCAGTGCTTTGAATTTTTTGTTCAAAAAGTCAAACAAAGTTCTCTTAAAAGAAACTTCTGATTTTGTCTAGCTGTTTGATTTGGTTGTTGTAGGCCTATGTCTCCCTGAACACGGTACATAGGCTGTTGTATGCTTTGATTTTCTTGAGCTAATTTTCATCCTTTTTTTTCAGTGTCTTGGGAGGGGGGGGGGGGTCGAAGACTACCCCAATCCAACATTTTCTGTCATAATACCCCGCACAAACGACATTACTTCCTCCTCGTGCACTCCCATGCTCAACACCCTAAACGCCCAACTTTCCCTTCCCCTTCCCTCCCCCCCCCCCTTCCCTTCTCCTTTCCCTTCCCTCCATTCCCTGCCCCTTGCCCCTCCTCCTCCCTCTCCCCTAAACCTCCCCTTCCACCTTCCCGACCCCCCTCCCCGCCCTCCCTGATGTGAAATTCAAAATCTTTGAAGTCAAATTTCTCTAGGCTAACTAGATCTACTGAGTAGTGAGCAGATAGAACTTTGTAATTCGAAGTTAGCGAGATGACAAGATACATCGTAGGGGAAACTCAGTGTCCTTTGGGCATAATATTAGCTCGTCTACCGACTCATTCATAAGAGAAAATTGTCCAAAGCGGCCCCCAACCGCCATTATAAACAAGTAATAGCACTTAATTTCTCTAGTCGAGTGACTATTCCTTTCATTTTAGAATAATCTATTCTACCATTGTGGGGAGACTCAGTGTGCGGAAGGGTGAAGGTTGTTTTCATTGAGTTTGAGGATACCGAGTTCGATCCCTGAGTGGAGAGAAACAAAGTTTATCGAGTAGGACCTCTGTCTTTCTGCTGGAATAATGTGTCCCTTTCTCCGCATTGACTGACCTTGACAGGCAGCAAGGTCGGAAACCCGCCTTTTAAATAATCTTAATAAAATATTGTCGACAGGGGCGTACAAAAATCAAACAAACAAACCCCCCACCCCCCCCCCAAACCCCCCCCCCCCAACAAAACAAACAAAAAACAAAAAAACCCAACAACAACAAAGAAATAAACCAAGAAACAAAAAAAACCCAATAAAAATCCCAGCTACATTAAAATTCGAATTTTTTAAAATAGGCTATATACTTCCTGTGATAGAACAATAAAGCGCTGAAAAGGGGAGTAAAAAATGTAGCAGACGTGACGTCTTCACACTCCTGAGCGACTCCGTCCTCTCAGCTGTGCTTGTTCTGATGAATTTTTAGCGGCGAATGTTGGTAGGGTCAAACCGTGAGTGACAGCGAGGCGTGCCAAACACAACGCTAATGGTCGCTTTTAAGCACGAGGGGACTATCCCGATAAATGCTGTTTTGAGAAAATTGAAGGTAAAATTTTTGGACCCTTGCTCAGTTTCTTTTAAAAGACAAGGAGAGTTTTCTCTATAACCAAACAAATATACACTCAATGAAACTAAACTTCTCCTATAGGTAGGGCAATGCCCACTTTTGGTGTAGGTCAAAATTTCTGGAAACCCCCCGAAATTTGGGTTAGTCCGCTTGTCCTTAAAAGCGACCAATTGTTTGTTTGTTAACATTATATTACCAACAACTCTGTCCATGTCATTGCACTCATAAGATAATTTTCTAAGTCCTTTTTGGCAAAATATGAAATCCGTTGAGTGTACCAAAATTCAAGCGTTTTAAAATACAGGGTCAATATTGTGCGAAACAGGTTTTCTTCCTTCATTTTCTCAAAGTGGGTAAAAATGACAAATGTTTGAAAGTAACAGTTTAAAAAAATCATTTTCTCAAAATGGCTAAACTTGGAGTAGGCATTTATCTTATTAGCGCGACAATATGCCCAAAATCTGACCAGCGACTGATTCCACCGCGTCGTGACACAAATCATGTTGATGGGGGCGTAAAAAAAACAACCCAACATACATTTTTAAAAAAGCTGTATGGGCTATTGTTAGAGATGCGTCTCATGATAGAACAATAATGTGCTGAAAAGGGGCGTAAAAATGTAGCAGACCTCTTCTCACTCCTGAGCGACTCCGTCCACTCACCCGAGCATGTTCTGATGAATTATTAGCAACGGCAGTTGGCCGGGTCAGGCTGTGAGTGACAGCGAGGCGTGCCAAACACAAAGCTAATGGTTTGTTCGTTAATCAGCGCCCTTGTTGTTCCACTCGATAATCACCCATACCATGACCATTACGCTGAATTCAAATGGCCAGAAACGACCGTACGTAGAAGTATAAAAAAAGACAGGTGGTGCCAGAAGCAAAAGATTAACGGCTGGAATCTTACGTCCAGATTATTTTTATGCTGTCTGTGATACTGGATCTTAAAATATTTTTGAGAAAATACACACTCTACCTCCCAAAAACACTGTTGTTGACAGATATTAGGTTTTTAAAGATATATTAGAAAGACAATAGAGATGTGAATCTGGTGACTTTTAGATAATTATATGTATTCTTTCAGGTTCAAAAACGTTATAGTGGTTGATTAAAACCATGTTACAAAAACAGCTATGGATTTTACAAAAGGAGAAGCCTGGACATTTTTCTAAATCTAGGAACTCAACATACTGGTGTCTACGAAATAGTACTCGTACCTTGAAATTATACACACGGCGTATGACACGTAAGGTAAAAGTAAACCAACCCCCCCCCCCCCAAATGCGCCTGAACCCCCCTTTCATAAAAAAAGGTTTAGAGCTCATTTCGTGAATGACGGTAGTGCGACCCAGATATGGCGCAACTGAAAATGAAGACTCTGAGCGTGCGTAGTGGATCAAGTAAGTTCTGAATAGAGGGCTGAAGTTTGCTCTTACCAAATAATAGAAATGCCCCGAACAACCGTTACATTTTTAGCAACAATATAGCTTGATTAGAAATCGCCACATGATGTGATATTATTCTATTTTAGCTATTCTTCTTGATCACATTTCTGCTGTAGCATCTTTTTATTCCTCTCCTAATTCTATGATCCTGGGCTAGTTTTTGTGAAACTACTTAGCTGCCAAAGGAGTAAAGAAAAGAAGAAAAATTTGGTGTGTTCCAGGTTCAATAGTTGGTACATACTTGTATATCAACGTAGCAGCTTCGGATATCGTGTAGGACGCTCGCCTTTTGCTTTGGATTACTCACAAACGGCAATGTCTCATATGGAAAGTGAGTGCCCTGATGGAAACATCTTTTTTTCACACTTTGAGAATTTATATGCATTTACGTTGTTCTGTCTGTTTAAAAAAAATAGTACGTAAATTTAACCCAAAAAATTATTATTATAAAGACAAACACTGACTGACTGACTGACTGACTGACTGACTGACTGACTGACTGACTCACTCACTCACTCACTCACTCACTCACTCACTCACTGACTCACTCACTCACTCACTCACTCACTCACTCACTCACTCGGTCACTCACTCACTCACTCGGTCACTCACTCACTCACTCAAAAACTCACTCAAAAACCCACTTACGTACTCACTTGCTCAATAAAAGTTAATTTTTAAAATAAATTAGGTAAATAAGTTATCTCATAGGACTAAGTGAAAAAAGTCCTTAATTAAATTTTTTTTTGTGTACTTGCCCTTAATTTATAACAGTACCTGTGGAGCATCCTTTTATGATCACTCTAATTAAAAAAAGCCCTGCTAAGTTAATGATTCACAAACTGCATTTTTATAAAAGCAAATCAACAAAAAACAAAACAAAATCCATCCATAAAAAGCAAAAATACAGGCTTAGCCATGGTAGGCTCAATGTGACGTAGCCTAGTTTTTTCCACTTTTTCCCTTGACCACTTTATATGTAGCTAACGCATAACACATATTATTTTTTTAATGTCACGACGAGGTGGAATCAGGCACCTGTCACCTTTTGGGCATATGGGATTATTGGTATTATCTTAAAGCCTGTTCATTTGCCTTCCTTTTGGTGAGAAAATATTCATCTAAGTTGAATAGAAGTCCAAATATTTATTGTGATTGAAGAACATTAGTGTTGCCTGGTTGCAGAGGTAAAATTAGCAAGAAAATGGCTCTCAACTTTTGGTAGATTCCACAATCTGAGAGTCTTTGGAAACTGAACATTTATATTTTTTGTGTCTTTAATCAATGCCTTTCAGTAAAATCCACACAGAAATATATTTTCTAATTGACCTAAAAGGTGTTGAGCCTAAAAAAGGAAACTAGAAAAAAATTGCCCATCGCCCCAAAAATGTCGATTTCTTTGATTTCATTATTTTGACGAGCGCCTGGTTTCACCACGATGCCTCACATACAATACAT